ATATTCATCAGTGCTGGAACTTTACGCTGCAGACATACTTCTAATTCGTCCTTTAACATATTTATTGTATTTGTGTCAATTATTATGTGCAGATAACAAGTATAAAATCATTCATATTTATTTAATGAGTTAATATTTTGAGAATTAGTAATGTAACTTGTTATATCATTTATATTATTAATTTTAAACTTCCATTTAATTTATGTGTAATTAACAATATAAAAATATAATAAATTTTAATCTTATAATATTGTAATTACAATAGTAGCTATATGGGTCACGAATATTACATCTCCATTCACAGAATGAGCCTTAGCTATTTCTGAATTATGCAACAATTGTTGCAACCGTTTTGATGGAAAAGCAGTTTCTGTGCAAATGTATATCGCACCTGTTAACATTGATGTATTTCATTATACATGTATTTTAACTCATAATAATATTATGAATATTTGGAAAAATATATGATAATTGACAGCAAAAAAAGAAAAAAACGTTATAGAAAACTATTATATGCAAATCTGATAATTAAAATTTGTATTTTTTTATTTTAAAAAATATTATCTAAAATATTTATTAGATTTTTATGTCAAGGATTTAGATTTAGGTGATCAATCATATCAAGTTTAAGACAAAATAAGAGACTTTTAATTGTTATTTGGCTTATTTCCTGAGTTGGCATATTATTGTTTTTTCGATTGTTACCAGCTCCGAGACCGCCTGCGGTTACTGGCAGTTGGACGGAGAGACACAACTGCAAAGCCAACTGCGTTTTTCCAGTGCTAGCAGCACCGTAAATCTGCGTGATACCTCGGCAAAGTATACCGCCTTTCAATATCGCGTCCAGTTTCGGACAACCGGTTGTGAGAAATTTCTCTCTAATAGCAGCTGCATCTGTCACTAACGTATAATCATATAGTAAAAATCATTATATATATATATAAATATATGCACATCAAGATATTCTTATTTAAAAATCATAGAAAAGATCCTTTTTTTTCAACAATACCTAGTGAATCGTCCATGTTGAAGCTCATTTTCAATACTATATTTTTGATATATTGAGTACGTATTCACGTACAACGAAAATAGAAATATTTCGACACATGAATTTATCCTTACATTAGAGCACATATGCATTTCTTATTAGAGTCCTA